TTTATATCTACTATGATAACTGATCCAGAAGTGAGTGTTTGTACTTTATATATCTACTGTGATAACTGAGCCAGAAGTGGGTGTTTATATCTACTATGATAACTGATCCAGAAGTGAGTGTTTATATCTACTATGATAACTAAGCCAGAAGTGAATGTTTCTATCTACTATGATAACTGATCCAGAAGTGAGTGTTTCTATTTTACCTGTTTATCTATAAGAACTCAAGGAAGTTCAATTTTACTAAGATTCCGTCGTATATCTGTTTAGATCTTCCATAAAGAAATGTTGATTCACTTGAAGGTCTGTCTAACGATGAACCGCACTAAAGAATTCTCCACGGTGTTACCAGAGATGTAAATACAAAATTTAATCGTGTCGGTAATGGATTTTTACGGCCTAAGTACTAATAATAGCCTAACAAGTTGTGTTTGTTGCAGGGATTCAAACGACACGATACGGGATTTCCGTTCAACTTCTCGTGAAGACTGTGTGTTGTAGAGGGTGAAGTCAACAAAAGAGAGTGTAACCTGAAAGATGCCGCCACGACATTTAAAATTCGTCACGCCACGTGCTAGTTTATAGATGTCCGACGAGATAACCCCCACGCGCACACTGGTGCAGGTGAGACCAACCACACGTTAGGGTATAGAAATGCACGTGCTTCTAAAGCCGTTCCCTCTCAAGTGAGAGTTTATGGGTAAACCTGGATCTACCAACAATGAAATCACAATAAACCCAAATTCTGTTAGTCCTAACCTGCGGTAAATCTTCCACAGACTCAATCAGGCATATAGGATATAGGGTAGTAGAATCTGACACATAGCATCAAAGACTTTCTGTTCTTATCTAAAACGATTTCAGCTGCTCAAAGAATCAAAGAAATCAGAAAAAAATATAATTATATCTTTCTCTAAATCAGAATCGTTCATCCTAAGAGGACCCTAAAGCTAAACATGTTATACTTTAAAGAACAAAACAAACAACATTGTATGTTAGGGTAAATGTAAACTACGTTGATTTTAATTTCATCAACTTACAGACACATTTACGTTTATCCCCCCCCCCTCCTCGCTTTTATACACGGTGTGATCTGTTTCCGAAGATACTTTAATATGAGGGTCCACGAGGTTCTTTTTTTCGTTCGAGACATTCGGGCATAGTCATCCTTAATTATTAATTTATAGGACAGTGGTTAGACAGACAGTCAGCAGCATCCGCCACCACAACGGCTATATCTGTCACTGTTTAACGACACCACGTCTCGAACCTTCAGACTTGCAGCTGTGCACGAAAACCACTACTCACTCAAGAGTAAGGCTATAAGTAAGCGAGTAAGGTTCTGATTCAACTTTAGGGTTAGCTCGGATAGTTCTGATTTATACGGAACTTTAAGGTTAGCTCGGATAGCTGTTTTATACTGAACTTTAGGGTTAGCTCGGATAGTTCTGATTTACACGGAACTTTAGGGTTAGCTTTGATTTATACCGAACTTTAGGGTTAGCTCTGATTTAAACTGAACTTTACGGTTAGATCGGATAGTTCAAACTGATACGGAAGTTTAGGGTTAGCTTTGATTTCTACTGAACTTAATCGTTAGCTCGGATAGTTCTGATTTATACGGAACTTTAGGGTTAGCTTGGATAGTTCTGATTTATACGGAAGTTTAGGGTGAGCTTGGATAGCTCTTGATTTATACTGAACTTTAGGGTTAGCCCGGATAGGTCTGATTTAAACGGAACTTTAGGGTTAGCTTGGATAGCTTTGATTTATACGGAACTTTAGGGTTAGCTCGGAAAGTTCTGATTTATACGGAACTTTAGGGTTAGCTCGGAAAGTTCTGATTTATACTGAAGTTTAGGGCTAGCTCTGATTTATACGGAACTTTATGGTTAGCTCTGATTTATACTGAACTTTAGGGTTAGCCCTGATTTATACAAAACTTTAGAGTCAGCTCAGATAGTTCTGATTTATACGGAACTTTACGGTTAGCTCGGATAGTTCTGATTTATACGGAACTTTAGGGTTAGCTCGGATAGTTCTGATTTATATGGAACTTTAGGGTTAGATCGGATTTATTCTTGAAACACCAGTTAGTCTGTTGTTTAGTGTAGTTAAAGTTTTTATCTGAGTGAACATCATACTAACAATAAGTAGATTAGAAAAATACTGTATACGTTTATACTTTTGAGAATGAAGTCTTTGTTAACTACATATACTGGGAGTACAAGTAGACGATGTTGATTGTATGTAATAACGATTCACTTTTGAAAGTGACTATAATCAATGATACAAAGTTTTCAGAACGACTTTCAATGTTGATTTGTTTTTATTTAACGAGAACCTGAAGTGTTTAGTACGCCTGACTTCCGATCAGAAGGACCAAGGTTCGAGCCCACGATATTCAACTGAATACGCTAAGTACTGTGAGTTATAGGTGTGTTATAAAAGTGACATTCAATCCCGCTGTTCGGTTAACAGAAGCCGATAACTGGTTGTCCTCTCTCTCTCTGGTCTGGGCTAGGACATTTGACCTGGCCATTTAATTAGCTCATGTGATGTAATGGATCAAAACACTAAATACAAACAACAAGTGTAAAGAGAATATTGTTACAACCTGTAACAATTAGTGTAAAGAGAAGATCATTACTACCTGTAACAGTTAGTGTAAAGAGAAGATTGTTACTACCTGTAACGATGTGTGTAAAGAGAAGATTGTTAGTACCTGTAACAATTAGTGTAAAGAGAAGATTATTACTACCTGTAACAGTTAGTGTAAAGAGAAGACTGTTAGTACCTGTAACAATGAGTGTAAAGAGAAGATTGTTACAACCTGTAACAGTTAGTGTAAAGAGAAGACTGTTAGTACCTGTAACAATGAGTGTAAAGAGAAGATTGTTACAACCTGTAACAATGAGTGTAAAGAGAATATTGTTATTACCTGTAACAATGAGTGTAAAGAGAAGATTGTTAGTACCTGTAACAATTAGTGTAAAGAGAAGATTATTACTACCTGTAACAGTTAGTGTAAAGAGAAGACTGTTAGTACCTGTAACAATGAGTGTAAAGAGAAGATTGTTACAACCTGTAACAATGAGTGTAAAGAGAATATTGTTATTACCTGTAACAATGAGTGTAAAGAGAAGATTGTTAGTACCTGTAACAATGAGTGTAAAGAGAAGATTGTTACAACCTGTAACAACGAGTGTAAAGAAAAGATTGTTACAACCTGTAACAATGAGTGTAAAGAGAATATTGTTATTACCTGTAACAATGAGTGTAAAGAGAATATTGTTATTACCTGTAACGATGAGCGTAAAGAGAAAATTGTTACTACCTGTAACAATGAGTGTAAAGAGAAGATTGTTAGTACCTGTAACAGTTAGTGTAAAGAGAATATTGTTACTACCTGTAACAATTAGTGTAAAGAGAAGATCGTTACTACCTGTAACAATGAGTGTAAAGAAAGATTGTTACAACCTGTAACAATTAGTGTAAAGAGAAGATCGTTACTACCTGTAACAGCGAGTGTAAAGAAAAGATCGTTACTACCTGTAACAATTAGTGTAAAGAGAGGATTGTTACAACCTGTAACAACGAGTGTAAAGATTGTTACAACCTGTAACAGTTAGTGTAAAGAGAAGATCGTTACTAACTGTAACAATGAGTGTAAAGAGAAGATTGTTACTACCTGTAACAATTAGTGTAAAGAGGATTGTTACAACCTGTAACAACGAGTGTAAAGATTGTTACAACCTGTAACAGTTAGTGTAAAGAGAAGATCGTTACTAACTGTAACAATGAGTGTAAAGAGAAGATCGTTACTAACTGTAACAATGAGTGTAAAGAGAAGATTGTTACTACCTGTAACAATTAGTGTAAAGAGAAGATTGTAAACTAGTGATAATGTTTCAATATAAACTACTATTTCATAAAATATTCACTTGAAGTGTTTCATGCGAAACTGATAGCTCAAAAACAGAACTAAAAACATATTCAAAACTTTGTCAGTTTATTAAAAATTCACAGAAATATTCATCCACCTTTTACCTCATTGAACAAGTACGTATCCTAGGAGTATCTGTGCGTGTACGTTGTATGATATTTACATTGAATACCTGGAAATCAACTACACAAAGAAACAAGTTTGTTACTGATAACATTTCTGTATTTTGTCTTCGAAAACCTGATATCGGTCATTTAAGGTTGACAAACTTTTAGTAACGAATTCAAACAGGTGAACGTAATAAATCATATGCTGTCTGGAACTACACTGGTTCCTTCTGTTATTTTACTCGAAGTAATCACTAGAAAGTTATATAAATATCATTTTCTCGTCTTTTTTTTACCAAGGGCGCCAAACCATTTTTCCATTAGCCTGATTCAAACCCTCAACATTTCTTATTATTCGAGAATCTTCTTGATTATCGTTTTGACTCGAACCCATTTCCTTTTTCAAAGACATTTTAATTCCAGGATGACGGCCAATAAAATCGCTAGATGACATTTTTCCATTAGCCTGATTCAAACACTCAACATTTCTTATTATTCGAGAATCTTCTTGATTATCGTTTTGACTCGAACCCATTTCCTTTTTCAAAGACATTTTAATTCCAGGATGACGGCCAATAAAATCGCTAGATGACGTATCACGGTTGTACACAGGCCAAAAATAATAACCGCTAGAAAAAAATCCAGGACCAATGAAGGCGTTTTTAACCGGCAATTCGTTATGATTTGGTTCTGTTTCTCTGGAGTTTTCTTCTTGTGTTTGAGAAGAATCCGATGGGACCAACAAGTCGTCTGTCTGTTTCGTCGATTTTTCGCTGTAACGTTTATTGTTTTCTTGGAGCCTTCGATTCAAATGACAAAACAGACGGGGCATGAATTCAGGAGACTGTCTGTATTCATTCGCTGACAAAAAACGAGCAATCTCAGTCATACATTTCCTGTAGCCAATAATAAAACCTTCACCGGGTGGCGCTTCAAGCATGGTGCTGACTTCTACATGGAACAAACAAGAGTTAACGAGGTGGGTATTGAAATACCAACAACTAAGTTTGATCTTTAAACAATCTGTTTCCCATTAATACATGTATTATAACAGAAAATTTAGTTTAAAATGAGGCTTTGCACAAACCAATGACCAGGAATTTGATTTTTATTGTTAAAATAAAACGTTTATGTCATAAATCTGAACACTGACACGCTTATTTCTTAATTATCACGAATTTAATGGAACAGACAACAATAATCAATGTACCACCGCTCACAAACTTAAAAACGAATTTTAAGGTAGAAGATAAATCTTTTTTTTTAGTTTGTCCTACCTGAAGAGAATTTTGTGTGAAGATATCGCAAGTGTAGAACTAACTTTTCTAACATTTCGGCTCTTCGTTTACTAGTGTGAGTTGACGTCTAAAGGAAAGTTAAAAAAAAAAACACACTTTGTTGAGAAATATAAAACATGATCCTCTTTGAACTACATTTAAAATCATAAAGTAATGACGTCATTTTTTTAAAGACTGTAACTAATTTTGTTAAAGTTATAAACGTTATTATAACTAAAGGACAAGTGACATCATTAAGAAATACAAAAACAACTTTTAAAACATCTATTTTTTTTGCAGCCTAATATTAATGTACGTCATATGTTTGTTTGTTTCCATCCCCAATTTTAAATTGATAAACTGGGGGGAAAGTAGCTAGTTAACAGCACCCACCAACGTTTGGGTTACTCTTGTCTGAACGACTCGTGAGATTTGACCGGTATTCTTCTAGCGCACCAATGACCATAAAGTGCAAAACACATTTATTCGACGACGAGACGCGAACCATGAACTCTAGATTTCATATCTGTCGGGTCGGGCGTGGCCTATCAGCGTATATGCTGGGTGGAAGTAACACTGTTAAATATCAACAAACCGCTTATGACTCAAAATCACCGGTACATGTCAATGACATAACTTTACTTTCGAAAATAACCCGGGCCTTCCCGAAGAGGCCCTGGCATGGTCTGGTGGGCCACGGGATCGATACCCGTCGCCAAAGATGTTCGCCCTTTAAACCGTGGGAATATTATAATATGACGGTGAACCCCACTATTTGTTGGTCAAGAGTTGGTGACTGGTGGTGTTGATTAGCTGCCGTCTCTCTCTCTCTAGTCTATCATTTCAAAATTAAGGATGGCTGGGACAGATAGCCCTCGGGTTATGTTGCACAAATTCAACAAGCCTTCTTGAAGTAATCATTCTAACTATTGTAACGTGTCTGCATATCAAAGTGTATGGATTTGGTGTATCTGGATTTTAAGAAAGCATTTGACAAGGTACTACATAAAGGCTTGTAAAAAATTATCTCTGTAGGTGTGGGGGATAAGTTAGCAAATTGGACAGAAGAGTGGCCGGATGTAAGAAAGCAGAGGAATGTTACAGATGGAGTTCAGTCAAACTGGATTAATGTCACAAGTGTCAGGGCTCAGTCTTAGGACCTTTGCTCTTTTTGATTTACATCAACAACATAGATGAAGGAATAGTCAATAAATTACTTAAATTTGCAGATGATATTAAGGTCTTTGGTGTTGCTAGCTGTG